TTGGTCCACTCATTCCACCGTGGTACCTGCCACATATTATTCTTGTGATCTTGTATGTTGCCTTGTTCACCTTTAGCAGCTGCCTCCTCTGCCTCAGTTGCAAACTGTTCCATGGCTTCTCTTTTGTCCTTCCTGACCAGTCTTTTAACTTTCTGACAAGCTTCCTTGTAATCCTCTGCGTACTTCTCCTGTAGCCGTATCGACATAGCTGCAAGCTGTCTTTTCTTGATTTCTCTCCGTTCTTCAATAGTATTCCAAGTTGCTTGCTGTATCCATTCTTTGCTTGCATTCTTTTTCTTGACACCAAGACATGTCTTACTGCTTTCTGTGTAGGCCTCAACAATATGCTTTCATTGGGTATTGACTTTATCTGTATTAGGGGTGGCTTCTTCCAGGTCTTGGGGAGCTTGAAATCGATTCTTTAGTTCTAGTTGGAAGGCAGATCTCACATTGCCATCACTGAGCTTGTGAACATTAAATCGTGTCCTTGTTACCTCCCTGGTGAAAGTTTTCTTCAGCTTGAGTTTTATCCTTGCCGTCACTAAATGGTGACCGCTGCCGACATCTGCTCCTCTTCTGACTTTCACATCCTGTAGGGAACGTCTCCACATTCTTCCTATCATAAGGTGGTCAATCTGGTTCTTGTCCCGGCCATTTGGAGAATTCCAGGTCAGTTTGTGAATTGTACGGTGTGGGAAGAGGGTTCCGCCTATCCCCAAGTTGTTCAATGCGCAGAAGTCCACTAGTCTTTCCCCGTTCTCATTTCTTGTACCCTTACCATGTTGTCCTATCGGTCTCTCATAGTTGGTGTTGTCCTCTCCTACTTTAGCATTCAGATCGCCCATTACAACGATACGGTCGTGACGAGGTATATATGTCTATTCCTTCTGTAGCTGTTCATAAAAAGAGTCCCTGCTTTCATCTTCACTGTCGTTAGTAGGAGCATAACATTAGATGATGCTTGTGTTTGTGTGCTTTCCCTTCAATCTCAGTGTCATCATTCTGCTGTTGATCGGTTTCCACTCCATGAGTTATTTCTCAAGTCCCTTTTTTAGGATGATAGCTACACCTTCCCTATGTTGATTGTCTTCTCTGCCGGAATAGATCAGTGTTTCTCCAGTTTCTGTTCTCAGCCTGCCGGATTCTGTCCAGTGACTTTCACTTATGCCCAGAATGTGTAATGCATATCTCCTCATCTCTGCCGTTACTTGTGCCAACTTACCAGTTTCATACATTGCCCTTACATTCCACAGTCCTATGATAACTTTTGTCTTTGCGGTGTTCAGGTCCTCCATCTTCCTGCAAACAGCTTCCTTGCGGCTTTCACTGCCAGCGTTCATACGAGTCCCAAGGGACTCTGAAGGTCCATCACACACAGATTACATCACACACATACAC